ACCACTTGATGAAGGAGAAGAAAGGATAGAAAGTGGTTTATGGAGGTGGATATATTCAAAGAACATGATATACTAGACATTATCTTTATGAAATTCATCACTATATGCAACAAGTATATGCCAACATTATTTACTCATATGTAAATGCTAGTTTAGTATATATAATACAATTTATTTTATTATATGTAATTTAACAGCCTATAATATTAAATATTAATATTCGTTGCAGGTCAGAAATAATGTAGCTCTTCTTTTCTCTATCTGATCTAGAATTTTTCTACTTTATAATTAATTCATCTATGTTTTGATGTTTCAAACTTTATATTTTCTTTCTCTCTGTCATTCCCCTTTCTCATTTATATTTTCTTTCTCTCTGTCATTCCCCTTTCTCATGCTGTTTACATCTTAAGCTGGCATGTTCATGCTTACTGCCCTTTTAGGACACAGTACCCTGTGAGAAGACACTAAACCTTCGGGCTATCTTCTTCCACCATCACAATACTTTCAGCTTTGCATCCTATAATGCTAAGGTAATCAATATTATACAGGAGATCTATTTCTATAACTTTATTAAGGATAGCAAATTGTATTGCTTTAAAGTCCTTTTCTCTTTATTTATTTTTGAACTGCATTTCTGATATTTCTATACTTCAACCTCACTCTGATTTGGGTAGCTATATATACATATACAGTCGTTTTGAGACAAGGTCTCCCTGTAGGCACACTTGGTCTGGAACTCTCTATGTAGATCAGGCTGCCCTGGATCTCACAGAGATCTATCTGCCTCTGCCTCCAGAAGGCTGGGATTAAAAGCATGTGCCATCATGTATGGCTCGTCTTGTATATATTTTTATTTTTTATTTTTTAATTATAAGAAAATTGTCCTCTGATATTTTTCAGACTCATGTTAGTTTACTCATGTTAGAAATTTTGGAAGAGGGAGTATGAAATCCATCTCAGTTGCCCATTTGCATGCAGTTAATTTAAAAAAGCAAAAACTTGATCAAAATTATGATGAGATTTTTTTTCTCTTTATATTTTCAAATTCAATGTCTTCACCAGGCTATATGTAGATGTTGGCTGTGCTTTATTTATTTTTTGAACATGATAACCTATTTTGATCTGCATATGGGTATGTTTTAATCTAAAAGGGAAAATGATCTTGTTTCACTTGAAAACATGGCTGTGCTCCATTTACACTGTTTTCTTGGTCAGGAAGAGCATGTGTGTATGTCTCTGTTGGCTGTCCCCCAGACATAGTGTCCTCTCCACAAACAAAGTCTTCCTTTCATCTCTTTGCTTTGCATAATTGGAAATGATTTTCCCTCTTGATCTCTCCATAAATGACTCCTTTGGCTGCAGGGTTCTGGCCTCTTGTATTTCTGTTCCTCCTTGACCCCCTCCCTGGAGCCCTGCTCCTGCTCCCCCTCTGGACCCAAAGAGTTAGTGCCTGACAGCTGAACATACTCCGTTGGGTCTAGCTGCTCTTAGGCTGTGATCTGATGGGGAACTTGCTTCACAATTCAAGCATTTGTCTTTCCAACCTGGCTCCCAACATTAGTCCTCACCCTTCCAAATTAGAATTTTCCAGGATCTCTTTCTCAGGTTTTGTGAAACACTCTTAGAAAAGGAGTTCTGAACTAAAACGTCTCTACTGAATCAAGCAAAAATATCATGGTTTTTGAAGTCTAAGAACTATGGTCATCTTCTTCTTGACTTGTGGATACAGATTTCTCACTATATAAGTCTTTTGATCATTTCTTTGAAGTTCAGGTTAAAAAGAAAAATGAAACTGGATTGAACTCCACAACCATTTTTCTTAAAAAAGATCGAGTAATTTATTTTTTATTTTTCAACTTTCAATTTTTATAGAATTTCTACTTTGGTTTTACTATAAGAGGTTTAATTGCATTATCTGCTTTTCAGATGAATTTGTTATAAGACTGTATGTAGCACAAAGGTTATTAGTTTGAGTTATTCTATCTTCTTTTATTAAAAGAGGGAAGTTGGTTAACATGTGCTTTAATAGGTAGATTTACTTCTACAACATAATAAGCCCCCTATTCGATACTATAATCTGAAGTCTTTAGAAGTACAATCTGAAGGTATACATATAGATAAAAGAAATTATATTCTATGGATCTGAAGAGATGGGTCATCAATTAAGAGCACTTGATTCTCTTGCAGAGGACCTGGGTTCAGTTTCCAGCACCCACATTAGTTGGCTCACAACCACCTATAACTCTAGTTCCAAGAATCCAACACGCTCCTCTGGCCTCCAAGGGTATCTAAACACCAGTGGTGCACATAAACTCATGCATGCACACACATATACACATAAAAATAAATAAATCTTTAAAAAATAAACTATATTTTGTATGTGTTTGGATAAATATACATATATAGCCATTAAAATTCATCTGATTCTTTTTCTTAGGAATATAATTGTTAATAATTTTTCAGGACCAACCATAAGATAGAAATTGATTGAAGTACATTGATGTATTATGACTATCTATCCAGATATTGTTTATAATGATGAAAAATAGAAGCAACAGATATTATATTCATTGGGTAAAGCACCATGTAGTCTTTTACAAGTTTGATTTTTCTTTTGGGCTTTTTGAGACAGGATCTCCTGCTAACCCCAGCTGACCTGAAACTCACTATATAGATCAGGCTGACCTTGATCTCACAAAGATCTGCCTGTCTCTGCCTCCTAAGTGCTGAGATCAAAGATCCTTTACAAGTTTTTAAAGTAAGAAAACTATATAGAATATTTCAAATGCTTATAATGAATATTACAGGGAAAGTGCAGCATATCAACATTATAATCACAGATGCATAAGGTCCTGAAGTTAAAATAGTCATTTTGAACACAGATACTGTTATCATTTGTATTCAATTGTTAAGAATATGTGTCTATTTCCCAGCCTTCAGTAGTCTCTATCCTCCAATATTATTTAAAATTCAAGCAATATTTAAAAACTTGTAATGTCTGCACAGCAAAAAATGTTGTGCTATAAAACTTCTTGGGAAAATCCTTTAACAGATAATATATAGTAGGATATTTGAGTTCTAAAATGCTGATACTATTATGGGGAGGGGTAACTTTTAATCTCCTGAACTTCAAGATCATAGTTTCCAGACCCAAACTAGAAGCTAGTACTTTTACTGAGCAATTTTTTTCCTGACAGATTCTTAGGGGTTGTTCCTATTTCTTCTCCTCAAGGAACTCCTAGCTCCAGGTCCAGTGTCTGGTTTATGTTGGGATATTATGGCTGAGATAGGAATTTTTCTTCACAACTTGAAATCTGACTTGACTCTTTTCCCCAAAGATAAACACATGCAGCTATGTACATGTGAAATGACACCAACATCACTGAAAGACGAGGAAGTTGAAATGTGTACCTGTGTCCATAGGAGCACTTACACATACATACATTTACTCGTAGTACATTCAGGGAAAGAAAAGAAGCAACTGGAATGACCATTCACGATGGGAAAGAAAATGCTATGGAAGCCTTCGACTCAAATGAGCTTTGAGCAAATGGTCTATCATGAATAGATTTCTTTTTTTCTTTTAAAAGTGCGCTTCCTTTTTTGATATCTTGCAGGTCACATCCAAAGCTATGACTGTATTGTCAGCATGCCACAAGACAGGGCTTCCATTTTGCAGGCGTCTAGCATAATCCTTTCAGTGACAGCACAATTATTCCACAAAGGTGTTATGTCTATAAATATGAGAATTCCATGGCCCTTTACATATTTTGTTTTTCTACAAAGCCTGATTTTTCTTTTTCCTTAAAAAATGGTTTTAGCATTGGCTGGATCAAAATATGAAGATCCCAGGATAGAAGAGTACACAGGATGGCCACTAACCAGTTAAGAAATTAATTTCAGAGATTATCGTGATTTGAGAAGCCACGAATCTTATTTGGATTGCTGGAGCATTCTGGATGTAAAAAGCCACCCTACTGTTCAGAAAACTACCATAATAATCTGCTCCTCCTCCTAGGTAGTACAAAATCACAGCAAGACCAATGAAAAGAGACATCATAATTTTTTTTTAAAAAAAGCAACTTAATTTTTTTATCTCTGAACCTTAAATCCCATTTGCCACCAAAGAAATCAGATCTAGTTGGTGAGCATACAACCACGATATTCAGACTAAAACCTTCCAAGGCCCGTGTGTGTGTGTGTGTGTGTGTGTGTGTGTGCGCGCGCGCGCACATGTGTTCACAGATCCTTCAAAATATAGTTCTTGGAAATTTGGGCCTAAAGTTGAAAGATTTATCCCATGGAATTTATTATAGGAACTTAGGATCTGAGTTCAGAGGCATCATGCTGCCCAGAGTCCATCCAGGTTCCGGATTCTAGCCAGGCTGTCCACGCTGGGCTCTCAAAACTTCAATAACAAAATGGAGTTGCTATGGAAAGACATGACTTAGCTTACTGGTGCTGGCCACCCTAATGACAGCTGCTCAACCCAGCCAATTAAAAAATGAAGACTATTTAGCAAATAGCAGTCCGCAGGAGCATGGGGGCGGGGTAAGACTAGGGCGGCTTCAAAAAGCAGGACTATCCCCCATACACTCGATTCACCTAGAGGTTGACCCTGGCAGAGGCCACAAGCAGACAAGGCCGATGCAGCAGCTGTCGCGACGCGCATCAGCCCCACCCCCAGCCACCTGCTTCTCCCCCACCTCCAACACCTGCTAGATGCCCAGGCGGCCAGGCCCCAGGTCCAGCGGCCCAGGGCTTGCAAGGCCAACTAGGGCCCTATGTTCGCGGCTGCAGGAGCAGGAGCACGCAAGGTGGCTCCAGGAACCCCTTCCCCGTGCGCCCCACGCTGATGTGGAGGCCCCTCCCTGGTCCTCAGCCCCTGTCGCAACCATGGTACCAGTCCTGCCCGGCCCGGGCCCCAGCGAGGGGCGAACGGGCCTCCTGCACAGGACCCGCCGCGCCGCAGCCTCCCCGGCGCCAGAGCGGTGACCAACCTGTAACCCCAGCGCGCAGAGCGGTCATGGTGCCCGCGGGCTGCGGTGCTGTCAGCGGCGGCGGCGGCGGCTGCAGCTGCGGGCGGGATCCGTGCCAGGCGCGGCGCCCACGGCGGGCGGGGACGCGGGCCCCTCACCTACGGCGGCTCGGTCAGCGCGCTCGGCCGGGCTCCGGCCCCCGCTCCACGCTGGCGGTGCTGACGAGCATCACCAACGCTAGGCCGGCGAGGGGCAGCGTGGGGAGTTTGCGGGATGGGGGCCTTCTGTTTATTTGCTCCCTTTTGGGAACTGGCTTTGCTGGGAGGGCTACGCAGGATGCCGGAGGCTGCGCTGCAGTGGGTGGCGAGCGCGAGGGTCTGTCCTTGCTGGCTGCCTCCCTGGCTGCCACTCGCAGTGTGTCTCAGCAACAGCTGAGTGATCCTCCGTAGGCTCCTCTGGGGTCTCGGGTCCTCGCCCAGCACGCTGTGTGCACGGGAGTCCCGGATTTGCGGAATACGAACAGGGCCACCCTTCCAGGCCTGCAAGGCCAGCGTGAGCGCCTGCAGTCCTACTGTATGCGGTGGTATCTCAAGGTTGTGAACAAGGTCCACCCCTGACTACAACACTGCTAAATCGGGAATGCATCAGTCACACTTACAATCCTTTAACTATGTTGTCATTTCGCCTTAAAATATGTTGTCAAGTAGATTGAGGGTGAAAGTTCATTCAGAAGTGGCAAATCTCATGCCCTATTTGTAGCTTCCGGGCACCCAGAAGAGGTTGAGGTTTTCTAGGAACCCAGTTAGTGCAGGTTTAAGGACATTTTGCATCTTAAGCACCCTGTGCAGGCCCTTCCATTCCGCCCCACTCTCACCTCCCAAAGGTTTCCATAGAAATTGTTGTCTTGTGGTGTTAATCACTGAGGAGCTCTGGCCTATGATTTCAATAACCTACACACAAACAGATCAGGGAGAGTGGAAACACAAAGGAAGCTGCCTCTAAAAGAAATCCTAAACAAAGAACAAGTTTCACAAAATGATAAATCCCATCTGAGGCAAGTAAAATTACATATACTCATATTTTAAAAATGCCCTTCTCTGGCGATGTATATTTAATTAAGTTACCGTCTTTAAGAACAACCCACTAGCCTTCACCATCCCTATTAACTTTTTTTATTGTTTATTTTTGTTTTTTTGCTTAAAGGAACAAAATTTAATAATTAGTGTTTCATACTATATAGAACCACATGCGATTTTTTTCCATCAGATTTCTGAAAATTTCAGAAAGACCGATACAACAACTATATTTAGGTAAATAATTAAAGCAGTTATAATTTCAGTGTTTGTAAATCCATGCCTAAATTGTTTAGAAAATAATTTATTGATTAATTTCATCATCTCCTGCCTCATTTTTTTAACCTAAGAACTACTTTATTACTACTGCTAAAATAAATAGTTGTGTATCATTCCTTGGAATTATAAGAGTTATCAGATAGAAAAAATATATTCATGGAACATTTAAACACAAAGATTTTCGAAGTTGTAAAAAAATTTATTTTTATTTTTTGTGTATGAGTGTATTGCTTACATGTATGTAAGTGCACCTGTGTCTTGCAATGCTCCAGGAAATCAGAAGTAGAGTTGGAATAGGACCCTGGGCTTCCTGATCCCATAACCTCTCCACAGACCTTTAAGACTGACAGAGACCCAACTGACAGGCCTCCAGGTTAAGCTGCCAAAATCATGCCTTGCCCATCCCCCTGCTTCGGGACCATTTGTAATCCTGCCCACTGCTCCAGAGCCTGGCTTTCCTGCTGGCTAGTAAGGGCTTGAACTTCCTTCTCCCATAACCTTGTGCATGGACCTTTTAAGATTGTCTGCAAGAACCTGACTAGGCTTCCTTAAAAAGTGTTCAACATCCTTAGTAATTAGGGAAATGCAAATTAAAACCACTTTAGGATTTCATCTTACCCTAATCAGACTGACTAAGATCAAGAAAACAAATAATACCAAATGTTGGAAAGGATGTGGAGAATGGTGAGCACTCCTTCACTGCTGGTGGATTGCGAACTCCTGCAACCACTGTTCAAAGCAGATGAATTCTTACAAAAACTAAAAATGAATGTGATCTAGTTTTACTCCTTGGCATATACACAAAGGACTCATCCTACTGCAGAGTGACATGTATACTTGTTGCTGCTCTTTTCACAATAGCTAAGAAATAGAAGCAACCTAAGTGTCCGCCAATTGATAAGTGAATAATAAAATTCTTGTACACAATGGAGTTCTACTTAGCAGTAAAGAAAAGAGGAGATCATGAAATTTGCAGGTAAATGAATGAAACTAAGGAAAGTAACACAGACTCAGAAAAGCAAACAAAATATGTTTTCCCTCATTTGTGGATCTTAGCACCAAATCCTTATATGTGAGTATATATCCCGATGTAGCTGCAGGAGGCAGGAAAATGGAAAGAAACCATGGAGGTAAAGGGAAAGAAGGAACCTGAGAGAGAAGAACAGTAGGAGACAGGTGTTACCAAGAGAGAAATGGGTAAAATGTGACTATTTAACTGGGAGAGGAAGGGGGAGGGTTATGCAAGGAACTATGGGAGTAAAGGGGAAGAAGGAGCTCAAGAAAAGGGGGATCATAAGAGACAGGTATTTAAAAAGGGTGAAATAGGGAAAATGGGAGTACTTTAACTTGGGAGGGAAAAGGGAGGTTTAGACAAGGAGAGAAAGAGGAGAGGTACGTATCCTTAGCTGGTATGAAAAAACAGAGGGAAATGTATTGGTTCAAAAGCCTACTGAAAAATTACACTTACAATATCTCTATATGAGTCCATGTATATAGCTGAAGGCTGAATAACAAGAAACAGTGCCAGACAGGAGACACCTCCCTTCCACTTGCTGGCCAGGATAGCCCAAGAGACTTCCAGAATTACACAGGTTATTGCCACAGCCCTTGACTGCCTCCCAGAACTTGAAGACAAGACCCTATTGCTGAAGACAGGACACACTTTGGACACAGGACTTGAAGCAATGGCAGTATAAATGACCTGGAAACCATCTCCCTGAGGCTAGCTCTCATAGTTTTGGAGGATACCATGCAAGCTGCTAAGGGAGAACATCAATCAATGGTACAACCCTTTAAAGCCTTTCTTTCCTAGTTTGCTTTGGACAGGGTATAATATCACAGTAACCAAAACAAAACTGGAGCAGTAGTCTTCCCCAGTATTGTAGAATAAGTGCTTGTCTTTTCATGGGCTCACATCTATGAGCAATAACCAATCATTTATTTATAAATTCAACATTGCAAAGTTTTTGAAGTCATACATTATCCTTCATGGGAACTTCCTAAATTTTTTTTACCAGTAGGGGTCACCTATACTGTCTTATATACATCTATGAAGATTCTGGTTAGGAACTTCTGGAGTGAGATTGTATGGACGGAGCATCTCTGAATAAAATGAACATTCTGCAAGCAACTCTGTTCCAATCATTGGCACATATCCACAGGCATTCATTCCAAACAGGCTCCAGAAGACTTGTTCATCCCATACCTCTCCTGCAAGTCTCATGTGCACTGGACCATTTCTGGAATCCCTGTAAATAGTGCACTTTAGTCCTCTTAATCTTAAGCATAAAATGCAAGGGGTGATAAATTCATGTGACTCTTAACTCGGTGGGATAATACAAGGGCAAGAAATGCCACTTAACTCCCCTACAGAAACATAAACAGCTCAAAATATAGAGGGGATTGCAGAGGACATATTGGTCTTAAAGAATCACATAGTTTAGAAATAAGGGTGATCTTTATACTGTGCATACTTCACGGGTTAATTGAAACTAATTCAGCATTTTGTTCTACTTTAGGATTATATTTTCAGAGGAGACTAGGTTTTACAAGATAAAAAGGAGTCTGGAAAATCAGAAATAAATAGTAATGCTGAGAACAAAACAGAGCCTTCTTTGTGCTGAGCAGCCGCAGAGGCAATCGCCCAAGGATGGATTCTGAAAACAAGACTCATGTTTCAAATGCATCATTGAGAAATTAAAGGGTGCATGTACTGACTATTTAATACTAGCTGCTATCAGATAGGAATAAATTTTGAGGTACCAAAATAGCTCTAATAATCCCATTTATTGTATAAGATGTCTAAATAAGTGCATGAAAACTAGGTTTTCATATGCCTTTAGGCAGATGGTGGACTACTCTGTGGCAAACCACCCAAAGTGGGATGTCTACAGGAAGTATCTAGAATAGGTGAAAGAAGGTGTCCATCTTGTTAATTCTTCTCTTACAAATTACCAAGAAATTGGGACCGACAAGAATCATAGATAAATTGTGCTTTTTCTAGTGAAATTAATCCTTTTTTGCTTTAACATATTGTCTGTAATCTTTGGTGTCCTAAAGTTTTTTTTTTCTGTTATGAATGTTATAATCTGACATGTTTCTTGAAGGGTCATGGCTGTTGGAGTTTTTAGGAAGTTATTGGATTGTAAGAACTCTGTCTTCATCAATGAATTAATTCACAGATAGAATCATAATTTGATGGCATTGGTAGGTGATGAAGATTTGAGAAAGGCCTAGTTATAGGTATTGAGTCAGCAGAAACATGAGTCTGAAGGTTGTATTTTTGCCCCCAGTCCCACCTTCCCCTATTTCTGTGCCACCATGAGGTGAGGAAGATCCTCTCCCATGTGCTTCTATGATCCTGTGTCTCATCACAGGCTCATAGCATTGGAGCGAGTCAACCATAAAACTGCTGAAACTGTGAGCCAAAATAAGACCTCCCAAGTTTAAAATCAAAATTGCCTCTCTCAGGTTGCTGTGGTTGAATCTGAAATGCCCTCTACAGGACATTTTCATGCTTTGAATGCTTTTCTCCCAGTTGGTGTCACTATCTTGGGAAGCTGTGGAACCTTTAAGAGATGGGGCCAAGGAGGTAGAAATGAGTTATAAGCCGCAGCCTGACAGTTAGACCCAGGGTTAGTTCCTAGCCCACTTTCTGCTTTAGGTCTGCTATGATGTGAATGACCAGCCTCTACCTATGCTACAGTGAACTGAGCTACTCTGCCACATCTTCCCCACCATGATAA